AAATAATATCCCCAGGCATAGATCTGAATGTGTGTTGAAACGAAGAGTTTATAAAATGGTCGATGCATACAAATTGTGATATTAGGAAACGAAATTCTTCGGGATCATGTAGAATTAAATGATATCATCAAAGATTGGATTGTAGATTAAACATTTTTTTCTTCGTTGGATGCACGTACGATGTATTTGATTAAAAATTTCAATAACATCGCTATTAAGTCTTCTAAATTTTAGTCAATCTCTTTCTCAGCTGTTAAAAACTATTAAAGACTTGTTAATTTTCACATTCCATAACTTAATTTTTAAAAACATCATAGTAAGAAATCTTGTTAAAAATTTCTTAACCCAACTTAATCACCATTTAAAGACATAAATATCTCATCTAAAAACACCTGTCTCCAACTGTTTCTCGTGCTATATCGCCCTAACCGATCGTTACGCGTTAAGTTGAACTTGACTACATTATCACAGCTATGCTTTCGCTTTGATTATATGATCAATGAGGCAGAACCATGCAACTAACTCCGTTAACAGCGTATTTTTTTGAACCTTACTCGAGCTATTTTATATAGAAGAAATAAAGTTATATACTAAATAAGTAGGAAAAATGACTATATTTTCGTTAGTACACACCATATATTTTTTTTAATTTTATAAAACTTATATTCCTTTTATTTTCTCTAATTTAAATACATACCTGAGCACTTTAAGGGTCTATCTCAAAAATTATAATTTTTCATTACAAATATATGATCATTATATCTTTTTAATAAAAATACTGTAACTGTATTTTATCTACGTATAAGAGTCATATTCAAGTCAGAATAATGTACAGTAAACTTTTTTGTTAAAATTTCCAAAAATATAGAACCTAGGAGACAATCACAAAATACTATAGAAAACCACTTTAGGTCACCAACCCATCCCTAACCCAGCAATCTTTTATTTTTGCATTGTGTCCGTTCTCAATAAATTACATTTATTATTTTTAGATACAATAAAAGCAATAAGAATCTCTCCCAGTATCATTGGAGCAAGTTCATACCCAATATTTCATTCAAATTTCAGTTTCATAGCTAGTGTGGATTAAAAATGTATAAAGACAACAAAGAGTCTTTAAAACATTGGTATGTTTTAAAAGACTCGAATATACATACAAACGAACAGACATAATTCAAGACTTATAAGTTTTGACATCAAAGGTTCTGGACTTGTGCCCAAATAAACAAGGACAAACAACAAAAGAGAATAATGGTAATGTTTAATAATTAGCAGTTATGTAATACATATATAAAATTAATTTTGCCTCAGACTTTTAGAACAGATAATATTCATAATTATTAACGTAATTTAAGTTATCTTAGCGTATACTGTGCTATGACTTTCCGATTCCTATTTCAGAGTATCATCTCATTTTTAACATAACACAGATAGCTTCTAGTAAAATAAGTAAACATTCCTCACAATTACTATATTGATTTATTGACAGAAATTACAAACATCTCGTTTCTTGTAGGATATTTAACTTAAAATATATATGTGTATATATACATACCTTTGACATAAATTACGGTGTCATAAATCTCTAATAGCATAAATTCTTGGTATCCACTTACAAACTACTTGACAATTGCGTCAATACCTACTAGAAAATACCCTTACCCTTTTGAGTACTTGCCATGACTTCGACAACTTCGAGGTATTATTTCAAAATATAATTATTATACCAATTTATATCATACAAAGTGTTTTAGGAACATAAATTTCCACTGACTCTGCAGCAAGAAAGAATAATCAACGCAACCATTTTATCTCTATATGTAGATTAATACATTGTTTATATAAATATTAAACAGTGATGAAACATTACAGAAACAACTGGCAGAGTTGTTTCAATGAAATGTAAAAACCTTGATATCGAGACGGAACCAATTAGATTTGGTGACCAAAAAAAAGTTCCGCTCGCAACAAAATCGCCATGACCTGACCTTGGTATTTCCAAACCATTAGATAAAATGCAACATTACATTTTAATCTACCAAGTTTTTTTAGTATAAAGATGACGCTTCATACTTATTAAAATTATTTTTCTATAGCCCACGCTGCCATCAAAGTTTTTTTTAATCAAATTGCTTATTCTTCATCATGACAATCCGTTAATAGCAAATCCTAGTCTCTCAGAGTTATGATTCATCCTTAATACTTTATGGTCCGGTACACTGAATGTTATATTCATATAGTTCCGCTGTTTTTTATAACACAGATAAGTATTTATAAACTTATTCAATCAATGACATGGAAGTTAGTCAAATAATAATACGTTGTTTGGACTTGACCACGGCAAAGAATAAAAAAGAATTCTTTCTTAATATAACTTTGTTTTGGATACTTTTTTCTAAACTGTACTTCTAGCACTAGAAATGTACTTACTCTAAATCACGTATTCATTTCATGTAGATGATATCATTCAAATGAAATTATTGCGATTCCTAACAAAAGCACTCTACTTCATGTATTGGTAGGAAGACTATGCTTTTATATCATCGCAGACATGATATGTAAGTTACTCTCGCAAATGAAACCTTTTTTGTTTTAATTTTTTCTCGCTGGTATATCATCACGAAGCAATCGAATCGTCAGTGGAAAAAGAATTAAAATGTAAACGTATATACGTATGCCAGGAGTTTTATCTTATTAAAACTTCCTGTGTAAGTTTTTTAATTAAACATAATTAATTAAGAATGTTATAATTTATTGGTAAAGTAATGGCATACAGCCGTAGTAATTAACTCTCAGTAACCTAATTTTTTCCTGAGCATTTTGTTTGTTAGAGATATTTACAGAAAAGGTAGAGATTGTCTAATGAATAAATAAGTCGCGTATCTTTTTAATCCATATCAAGTTTATCAGTAAAAGTCATTAAAAAATAGAGAATGATCTTAAGCCAGTATAATAAAACAAGTTGTCATCGAGGAATACCTGGATAAGAGCGAGTTCGGATATCAGCTATTGTTTTTATTTAAAACCGGTTGAAACCAGTTATTTCTAATGACCGTTCCTAAGTAAGATTGTATGGTAATGGTGGGTGTGGCTCGAATGGCAATCCATTTTTGTCTCACCCATCAATCAATTCTAATGAAATTTAAAGGTGGTCTTAGAAATTTACTCCGTAAATAAATTCCGTGGAGATATATATATTAGATATATTAGATAGGAAGTCAAATAAAGAAATTCTTTCATTTGAATTTATTAAAGATTAAATTTATTTTTATTCAAATGAAACTTTGCCGATTGGTACGACATAGGTTTATTTTTAATGTTGCAACAATAAATTTTGTTTTCGCTAAAACTTAACCTTTTAATACATCTCAAAACATTATCCACTTAAAACTTTCTATTTAAATATTAACAACAATAAACGTCTGTGTGTTTAATGTATACACGCATATTAAATGACTTAAAAAAACATGAGTTATTCATAATTTAGAAACATTACATACCGGTTTCGTCTCTGACACTGACCAAAGCGTTCACTAATTGTTATTGCTGTGTCACATTCATATTGGAATGAATGGTTGAATAAATCGAGTTATTTGTTAAGGTAAAGGGGCTTTATATGTTAATAATGACGAAGGTAATCGACCCTTTTTCAGCTTTGGAAAAACTCAATGTGACACTCAAATAATGGGGTATATTTAATGACTCGTTTATAAAACAATCCTTTTTAAAAGGTATATGTTATTTTACTATAACTAAAACATTAATAAAGAAACGTATGTTTGTTAAATTATAATTTTAGTTTCAACAAATAATGAATTTTCAAATTTGTTTTTTCTCATTCATTTTGCATTGGAATGCAGTGAAACTTGTTATAATTTTAATATATTTATTCTAACATATAATTATACAAAACACAATAAGTTGAAACACAAGCATACCTAAGCTTTTCACAATAATTTAAATATTTTTCCAAGAAAAAATCGAGGTTTAATTTAAAGTTGAAACGTTAGATAAAATAAAATTATTACGAATGAGTCATTAACAACAAATTAAATACTATTTTCCAGTGAAAAATAAATAAAAAGTAATTTACAAATAATAAAATCCATTTCAAAACAACTCCATGTTTTTATCGAGATTGAGCTTTACAAACTTCGGGACAAAGAGTTTTGGATTTCAGTGAACAATATCCGATCTGATAAAGAGTGAAGTAAACAAAGGTCTTCGTGACTTATTCGATTTTGTTGCGACTCTCAATCCATTTAGCAATCTTCAGAATTATCTCCTGATTTCTATCTTTCGAAACCACAATACTACTACTTACTTTTTATTTAAATTTCCTTCTGCAGATGTATCTTACACGTTAAAATTCTTGGAGCCATTAATATTTTTCTGTAACTGGATACTATGAGTAATACGTACAGAATCTTATCGAGTATTGAACACCGGCCTAGCGGTTTTTAGACAGGTGATTCGACCACAGGCTATTGAACTTTGATCTACGAATAATGAAATTAGCAAGCCGGATTTGATAAAATTTGGTTATAAGGAACTGTCAAAATATATTGTTTATAAATTTCTCGCCTTTTTAAGTTTTTCAAATGTGCGAATATAAATGACGTTACTTTGAAAGTTTGACAAATATACTCTGAGATTATCATAAATTATATGTTTACGATCGAATCGTTGTTGAAAAACTAGTTTTGAAAAATTTTAAAGTCAAATATACATAATTTTAAATATTGCAAAAGTGCGAATATAAATAGCGTTATTATAAAAATTTTACTAAATATTCCAACATAATATAATTTAAGTTACTTAATAACAAAGCCTTATAAAATAATCTGCAAGAATTATATAATAGTATTTTAATTTGGCCTTTTTTTTCATTGCAGATTGATTGAGGAAAGGAATTTGGAGAATATCTAATACTACTATAGAGATTAAAGTCAAAAGATGAGATAATTTCTTGACAATGAAAAATATGTTGTGGAGCATGGATGGACCATAGGATGCGCGTCACTGCGGCGCTCATAGGTTTTATGATCATTTCGTCTAATTACGCATTTATTCCTGGTACAGATGGTGAGTTTAATAACATGACATAAAATTTAAATGTTTAGACATACGAGTATAGTACAATATAATAATAATCAATAGAAATATGTACAAAACAAAAACAAAATGATATTTCATAGACAGATATGGATATAAATGTTGCTTTTATTCATCAATTCCTTACAATGTTTTATTTAAATTAGAGGCGATGTATTTTTAGGACCAGTCTTAGCTCAAGAGGCATTGGAAGGTGGAAACATAACACTGTTTTGTGATTCGACAACAGACACTCCTAATGACGAATTGATGCTTTTGGTCTGGTATAAAGATAATCTGCCTGTATATAGGTAATAATTAACAAATTACTGTTCTCCGTCCTACTATAAGCCATTAAAATTTTGGTCTAATTGCAACAATATTTTTATATATAGCAATAATAACATTGATCGTCTTCCTTAATTGTTGTGTTATTTTAGTTATGACGCAAGAATATCCAGTGAATGGTCTAGCAGTAGCTTCAACGCCAGCCACAGATTAAGAACGGATCTTACCAAACAGCCGACATCTTTAACAATCACTAAACTTAGAGGAGATGACCAAGCCCTTTATCATTGTAGAGTTGACTTCCTATTGGCACCCACAAGGAACATTGGAGTCAATGTAACTATTATAGGTAAAATATTCACTTTATTTATAATATCCAATAAGAATTTTTAATCATATTATTAAAGAATTTCAGTCCCAAAAACGCCTGACTGGTTTTCTAAACAATATGTCAATTTGATGAACATAACTTTTGAAAAAAATTCTTTATATTTGCTTTGTTGCATAATTTTATAAGTTTAGTGGAAAATTTAAAAGAATAAAACCATAAAGATATCCCGTTACTTCGTAATATATTCGACAAGTTCGAACTTACTCATTTAACGATATTTCTATATAAAGTCTAAGTAACTACAACCTATTTGTAGATTTGACGTACAAAAAATGTAAATAATACAAAAAGCATGACATTTTACCAATAAATCAAGATAACCGCGACAAATTATTCATAGGCTATAAACATATTTCATTATGAATTTAATTAATTTTACATTTACGAAGTATTATAATAAATAATATTTTTGCTATAGTAGAAATAAACTTCTACTACTACTACTAGAGGCTGAGAGAAATAATTGTGAAGTAACATTAATTATATTGACATATAATGTACAGCCTCAATAAATTAACTGAGATTTGTTTATCTGATAACTTTGAGAGCAACTAATGACTTTTATGGAATTCCAACAGTCAAGATCCTAGATGGTGACGCAATTCTTAGTAATTTACGGATCTATTATATTTTTTAATATCATCGTAACCAATTTTTAAATAAAAAATATTTGAGAATTTAACAAAATCATATTTCCTACAACTGTAATAGAGGCAACATATTGTATAATTAAAATAAAATCTTTTAAAATGTTTGTCAAATAATATATAAAAGTAATAACAAACATTATATTTATTAAAAAAAAAAACATGATTGAACCATATTCGCTTATCAAAATAACTTCAATAAATAAATTATCTCAAAGTAATGTTGATTATTATCAGTTGTAAATAACATTAGTGACACTAATGGTACAACTATTAACACTTTATTGTTAGTACTACAAGTTCTCAGTAACAATTATTTATTGCTTACATTCTACTACAGACCAGTTTTACAAAAGAAGCACGAGGTAAATAAATCGTCTTAATGATAAAAAATTGTCCAAACAAGTGCGTAAATTTTATTTGCCTACGTTTAATATTTATAATGTTTATAAATATACAAACTGTTCTTGACCTTTGTATCAATATTTTTGTTGATGAAGATTTCTTATATGATGGTAAAAATGCTAAAGATTTGTCATATCAATACCAAAAACCCTGTTGGAATATACATATGTATGAAATTTAAAACATCTTAAAATTTTTTCACATAATATTATGTAATACGAGACATTCTAAGACATTCTAAGTGACAAATAGAAACCTGAGAACTTTTGATTAATTTACAAAGACGAAGTCAGATGCAAATAGTCTTAAATCCACAATTTAATTACTGATATTTTATTTGAATGCAGCAAAATTAAGTATATTAGAACATAAAATATTTGCAATTATAATATTTAGTATCATGCTCATAATTGATCATAAAATTGAAGTAATTACTTTCAAGAAGTCATCAAAACGCTATTTTAAATTGATTGGATATTGGATACGCTTGTGTAATTATTTATTTTATTTGTATTGAATTACCAGGTATCTTAGCCAGAGTAATAATAATCTTTAAAATATTCCTCATTTGTCGTAATTACAATGCCTATAATTTATATAAAATGTTTTCCTAACTACCATAGTACTCTCTATCTAGCATAGTAATATCGAATCGTAAGAAATTTATTACTGTATTACTCAACTAAAACAGGTTAAATGATATTAAAAGATGTTTTTTATTACTTTTTTTATAAAATTGTTATGAAAAATATCTTAATACTTTTAGTAAAGTCAAAATAAAAGAATCTATATCTATATTTTTAAAATTATTAAATGTCATATTTTTATTTTACGTCTTTCGATTTTATTTCTTTTGGTGCAGTTCTTCCCAGCCAACCATTCTTTCTAGACGAAGTTGGGAACAAGGTGGAAGGGAAGATAGGACCATATCATGAAGGAGACACTTTGGTGCTAAGCTGTCTCGTTATTGGAGGTCAGTATACATATATACAAAAATAAAAACAAAACAGTTCAGTTACACGAATGTTTCATTAAGTGATACACATATTCATGAGAAGTGTACCGGATACCGCGGTGGAATTCAGAGAATGAAACATTAACAAGGTTGTCGGCAGCAATATCGGTGTAAAAGAATTCGGTTTTAATTAAGCTGTTATTAGGTAGCGGTTAAATAGTTCGGTATTAATCAAAAATTATCAATAAAGCTACCTAAAAATGTTGAATTTTCAGGTAGACCTCCGCCTAGGATAAGTTGGTATGCTGGAAACGATCTTGTTGACGCATCAGATGGTATCAGTGATATACCTAATGTACGGGAAAATGAGCTTTATCTTCCTTTGACTCGAGACAACGCTAACTCCCTTTCCTGCAGAGCATCGAACACACAACTAAGACCGCCTGTTGTGACAACACTAAATGTCGAGTTGTATTGTAAGTATCTTTGACATTTGATCAAAATTATGGTTACAAGAATTAAATTCTTATTAATAACTTACAAATTGCTGTAGTGACTTCACTGGTTACTTACATATTAATATATCAAGAAAAATGTACATATGTACATAAAAAAAATCCTGTTTCCACCAAACACGTGGAACTAACTGTCTGCAATTATTATTATTAGCGTTTTATTTTCTATATCTAAGGATATTAATTGAAATAGAACACTTAAACAATAACCATAGCGATAATTGAAACATTCAAACTATTTAAGTACTGATATATGTATCTAGTCACTCCTTTAAAGTGTGGAAGTATTTAAAACAATAATTGACATATTCAAAAAATATATGTACAGAAAACGAACAGACTTTTTTGTCATTTCAAAAATATGAATTACTTCTTATCACAAACAAAAAACAGAGTTATTTCACAAGACTATTAAAATTGTTGAATAAATAAACGTATAAACGATCTAATAGCCAATAATAATGATTCCAGTGCCAGCGTATAACGTTTCTATCAACTGGGTGTCTGGAACAGTGAGAGAAGCTCTTCGGGCTGGTCAGCAAGCAACAGTTCGTTGTGTTGCTCATGGCTCTTACCCCCCACCTGAACTATCCTGGTGGCTTGATCATCGTCACCTCACGCAGCATAGCAACCAGGTTCTATACATTCAATTATTTATTTATTTTTTCCACATGCATCAACTTAGTATCAATTTAACTGATAGCCACAAAAAATGTACATATCAATCGTAAAAATATTTGTTACATATACTAACCGATTTGATTGTTATAAAAAAACAGTTATTAGTGTTTGATTCTGGCTGTATTTATTCTAGTTCAACGGAATAATTACTGTTACCACAGAAAAAGGTTTTAACGTAATTATACTATTAGAACAATGTTTTATTCCTCTAATATGGATTCGATAAATTTTCAAAAATATGTAGGTATTTAAGTAAATTTTCCCCCGTAACGACAATTTCTAAATCTTATACCGCAATGAAAAGAATGCACTTGAAAATATTCTATTGTATTGTCACCATCTCGGCTCTATTAGAATCACAATCGGTTTCATAATATTAAACAAGTAAATAAATTGTTCAATGAATCGTACTTTTTATATTTTATAGAGTTGGAGCAATGCAACTCGTAAAGCTGAATCGTTTTTGGAGTTGACGCCGGCAGTAAGCGACAATGGCGGTACACTGGCGTGTGTGGCGACAAACACCGCATTGGCACCCGGCAGAGATTCCAAAGCGGATATCGTTATATTATATGTTACCTGTAGGTATAATTAAGCTGAAATAATCTTATATATACATTAGAATGTTTTGATAGTTACACTATTTATAACTCAAAAACAGCTGTAGGAATATGGTTAAAAATTGGTGGGGAAATAGATTAGATCCAGAAGACGGACATAGGATATTTACTTGTGTTCGATAGAAAAAAACCTTAAAATATTCCAATGTCTGGTTATTTATTGCCTCTAAGGCGCAATAGATTTCGCCCTATATTACTATGCCCAAAATAACGTGGACAAAGTCACGGGCAAAAAATAGTAGTATAAAATATAAGAAAATTCAATTGCATATTGAATATTAAAATAACTAAGTATCTCACTTTAAAAAAATGATCACATTTGAAGGAGCACAGCTTTATAATAAAATACCTTCTTGTTTAAGGAAGACGCATTCACTTAACGCATTTAAAACGGAACTGAACGGATGCGTTTTCCTTTTCTTTTGTTCTCTTATGAATTTTGTACTAACCAATACAGATTAAATAAAACTTGGTGTGACGAATGTTATCAAAGTTATATGTTTAAGTTAGTAATGTTCTCAAATAAGTGATTATCTATTGTCTTGTTGAGAATAAAGATCTTTAAACCTACTTATAAATTTCAGTAAAATAATACAAGGTTAATGTGTATATTTTTCAGATAGTCCGATAGTAGAAATAACGAAATTAGGAGATGGAAGACTGAATGAAGTTTCAGAGTTGGACAGCCTTCAGTTAGAGTGTGAAGTGAAAGCCAACCCACCCGTTGAAAACTTTACCTGGTATTTTAATGTAAGTTTTAATTTAGTATCACTCTCGTACAAACCAACAAAATTTAAATAAGTTTTTATGTCATAAATGTTTTGATTGTAATTACGTTTGGTGGCAGCGAAGGATGCAAGAAAAATCCGTTTTACTTAAATTTAACTATTAGCTAGATCGGGGTCTTCAAGTCAGCGGTTGACTCCAGACTGGATATATGTTAAATCCCATTTTGCATTCCCACCGATGGTGCAAGGCGTGCGGTGTCCACTTCACTTTCCCATTCCCACCGATGGCTCAGAATCAGCATTCCGTAATTTATACCATTGTTATACCGTAAACTTAATATCTGGTTATGCTTGCGTAACATAGTGATGAAACAACACTTACATTTAAAAACCATCTACACCATTACATAAATCAAAAACAATATTTACGATATGCATATTTAAGTGAAAATCTTTTTAATTTCAGGACATAGAGATAAGACCGAATAGTTTATGGGGCAGTGACGTATTTTCTCCGACGCTGTCAGTCGAGGAAGTGACACGGAGACACGCTGGTCGATACTCCTGTTCAGCTCGAAACAGTGTTGGAGAAACGAGAGCAGAAAGCATTAGTATAAGTGTATTATGTAAGCCATTCTATCTTTTCTTTACTTTTGTTACTTATCCTATAGAATTATGACGATATCTTAAATATTCAAACTTTCTCAGATCCCCCTGAATGTATAGAGCGAGGCATAATTCTAGTTAAGGAAACTTTAAAATGCGTCGTCAAAGCTTTACCACCACCAGACACATTCTTCTGGCATATCCAGCCTTTAGATGAAGATGTCCAGCATTTAACAACCGGATCTCCAATATTACCCCTCACGCAAATTACTGGAACCTTATCTAGGAGCTTAGATGTTAGCTGTGAGGCTGGAAACGGTATAGCCTCCCAAGAAAAACCATGCAAAAGAGTTTTTACCTTTGACCTGTTAAGGCCATCTCAACCGCAACAATGTGACCTAGCTTATGAATATGAGGAATTTCAAATGAGATGTATTCCAGGTTTGTTGATCATCTGATTGTTGTATTATACAAATATTGAAAGATTAATTTTAATATATTTTTAAATTTCAGTTGAAAATGCGACGTACTACGAAGTTTCGGTATGGCGTATGTCCACATCAAATGCTTCCTTGGTGTTGGAAAGACGAGGTTCTATGGGATATGGCACGAGCCAGGCTCTTGCTCAGGGTGAAGGCTTGCCATGGCTGGTGAGAGGTCCTCTAGGGAACCTCAGGGTAGGCGATGAAGCTGGCGCTTCAGCTTGTAACAGATATGGATGCTCATCAGCTCTACTGCTGCGACCTACTGATAATTTACTACACGCTGCTGAAGCACCTTGGTGGAAATGTAAGCATATTTTTATTGATACCGTGAATTTTTAATGTTATTGAGAATAAATAATATATATACTTTCGCGAGTATTCATTTAAATGAAACTAACATTATTCGGTTTACTACGCGTATTTTATTCATTTTAAAAACTACATAATTCCGACGTTTCGGTTGCTGCAAAGTACTATTTAGTTTTTAAACATAATAAACTACGCGTAGTAATCTGAAAAATATTTCTTCCATTTAAATAATTATCTATTATTATTCCTCTATAACATCATTTATATATCAATAAACCTTTATAACTCTAATACAAATAAAATAGTATTTAGAAAATTATTCGATATAAAAATAAATTATAGCTTACACATTATGTTTAACTAGCTTTCCGCCCGCAGCTTCGCCGCGTGGAGTTCGGTTATATCGCGTTTCCAAGAGAACCTTTCAAAAGTCTGGGATAAAAACTATCCTATGTTCTTTCTCAAGGTCAACTCTATCTCTGTACCGAATTTCATTAAAATCAGTTCAGTGGTTTAGGCGTGAAAGCGTAGCAGACAGACAGACAGACAGACAGACAGACAGACAGACAGACAGAGTTACTTTCGCATTTATAATATTAGTAGGGATAACATAACTTTGTTGTTATCAGTAAAAAATACAAAGACACTGTAGTTCATCTTAGATGCTCATTCTTATTTCAAGCAATATTTTAGAACATTGAACCAGACTAGTTACTTTCTTGTTCTCTTATATATTTTATAAAGTTTCTACACATGAAAGTAACAACCTCTTTTGCTTTTTTAAACATTTTTTTGATCTTTTTTATTACCTTAAAATTTTCAGTTCTTCTAGAAAGGGATGTTGGTATATCTATCGGCGTGGTCGTGTTGGTTGCTGTGTTCATACTATCTTCAGCACTCGTGTATCGTTTGGCACGAAGATCTCGAACAAAGCCTCCTGTTATTCAAGTTCTCCAACTAGACGATGTGGCGAGGGATTACTTAGATACTATTGGAGGTAGGTAAGAAAGTGATAGACATGTAACACTACAACCGTAAGCAACTATTTGTAAATCTGAATATTTCATATGAAATCAAACAAATAATAGATATAGGTCTAATTAAGAAAAATTCGGGCAAAATCTTAATAAATATACATTTACATATATATTAACTACTTTGAATTGGTATCTGAGCTTCAGTTCAAATATTTGGTATATTTGTGAAACTAAAAAATATATATTTAATATAAAATTAAGTAAACTTTAAATTAAAATTTGAGCTCATTTTTCAATTGGAAACACCAAAAATCTGCATGAATGAAATGAAACCTATGTTGAACAATCAATCGTGTCATTCGTATAGAAAAGAATGCGTAATATCATAAATTAGATGTATTCATTTTTATCCTTCATATAGAATATAGTGATAAAAACGCTCAGATTTTTCGAAAATCGTTATGTATTAGTCCAATTAATTATAATCTCAATGTTATCTAAAATCCAGAACATAAAGTGCGAGCCTCGTGCAGTCTGAGGTCATGCAGCAGTGGTTACTCCGACGGTTCAGCTGAGACAGCGCCAGCTATCGACAGACAACGCAAACCTCGTTTCTGGAGTTGGGAAACCCCCCCGCCTGACGTCACATTAACTCTTCATAGAGAAAGTGCCGTGTAATTTGATCTTACTAAACAATAGACTACGACTAGATTTTCATTAAGATATTTTAAGACTTGAGATTATTTTTTACTAAATTAGGTACTATTTATCTGCTTTAAGAAAGATTTTGACAGAATCATATTAATTCATTGCATCGCTGTTTGAAAAATAAATAATTATAATTAACAAATGCAATATGTATTAGAGAGAACTATTTATATTCACAATAGATAATTGTCATCAAAGTATTTATTTTTAAATTATGTTATAGTTCTATTTTTGTGATTTAGACATTCTAAAATGCAGTTTCAACTACATAAATATTGCCATGTCATAACGTAAGGAAAACTGAAAGAAAAATAATGATATAAATGTATGAGTTAATTATAATGACGTCAAAATAATGAGATTAATACAAGGAATAAATGTTGAGAAATTCGTTTGTTTGGTTCTATTTCTCATCCAATAAAGTCAAAATTGCAAAGTAATCATGAATAAACAATATTCGTAATAATTCATAAGCGACATATTTAACAGATTAACAAATATTTTGTTTTTAATAGCTGATTCACTATATTTTTGTACATGTTATATATTTTTTTATCATGAATGTGGTAAAAAGACTAGGTGCCTAAAACTCTGATGACGTCCTAGGAACTTAGCAGCAGATAACTACGATTGGATCTCATTTTAAATGAAGTTAAACTTTGTGTAAAGAACAAACCAATTGGCAAACTTTAGATGCTACCAGATTAGATAAATGAATTTATTCAGGGCTATTACTACCAGTCTTAAGTTTTAGACACCATATTCATTTCATAAATTATTGTAAAATATGTATGCTATAGTGCACTCGCCACCACTTAATACATACAATTGTACTTTATATATGCATATAATGTTTTTAACATTATATTGAAAAAATAAAAACAATTAATAATGAAATTAACCATTTAGATTTGAGGAGATAGAAGATATGAATAGAGTTTCAAAATATATTTGTGTTAGTGATGATTTAAAAGATAACAGTAACTGAAAATCATCTGATGTTAAAAGGAGAATACAACGGAATCATTAGAAATATACAGTACGGCATTGTGTCCCACGGCTCTAAATAATATGGTTCTGATTTCCCTGGAATATACATTATACACTGCCCTAACCAAATACATGTACTAGATCTTGAAAAATATTAAAGAATAAAATAAAAATTAATGATAATATTTTTGCGCTTAAAACGAAATAGAGAATTAAAAAATATATTTCTTTATTTTTAGACGTCTATTTGTCTTAAAAGGCTAACATATCCTTACCATATTAAGATTAAAGCAGTTACAATCAATATTGAGTTTGTACGGAGTGTCGTCTGTGGCATTATCACTTTAGACTATAGGAAAGATTTTGTATCCATTGACTTAAACAAGTATTTATGTATACAATACAATATTATAGTTTAAATTGAAACTTATATCTTGTGTGTAGAATACTCTGAATATTTTTCTCTCCTCTCAGCTCTGTTCTGTTTCTGGGGTATTTTATACTTACCAGTTACCACAGTTATTATTTTGGGTAATTTTGGTCCATTGATAGTAGTTAATGCTAATCTCTGAAGCTTTAATGGTAGAATGCAGATGGTAGTGTACTTTCTCACTGAAATCCCAAATTCGAGCAAAAAAATTATGTCACATGGTCGGTGAGATTGCAGATTCCATAGAGGTTGGAAATAAAGTTATGGAAAATTTCGTATTGCTTTCATGTTTGTTGTGTTGTTTGTTTAAGTATTTCATATCATAATTGTGGTGGATTAAAATATATTATTTCATTTTATCCACCTCCGAATAGAACACACTGTTTGAACTATTTTCGGCTTAATTTTTATTTCCATAAAAATTGTAATGTCTATGTTTATATTACTTTAAAAAAACAAGTAAGAATACAGACTATCAACTTCCTACGTCGGATCAAATACTCTTAATTTAAAGAAGTGTGTAATCACTTATATAACTAGAATAACTTTCAATTAATATGAGCAATTTCAGATTTTAAGGTTAATTTTGGTATTCCTTTAGAGTTTAGACCATATTCAAATATTTTCATGCTATTATTATTTTTGAAAAACAAAAACAGAGTCAAATGTTTGTCTTAAATGTAAATTGATAAGACATTTTCCTTAACAGTCATCTCTTAAACATAATTAATTTAACTACATATTTCCTGCATATGGAGATTTGTAAATAATTTTCCGTACACTTGGCAATTCCTCAGCACTAATCAAATTTTCCTCAAGATATTTTCACATATGTAATGTAGTAAATTTAACTTATAAATGAATACAATTTTTTTTTTAATTATGATGTATATAAAATAAAAGAAAATGTTTATATATCATATCATTTTCTGACCAAATGTTACTTAAAGTCAGTATCTATAGCCCTGAAGCAAATTAATACGTTTTCCGCCCAAAAGACCATATACAAATATCAAGAATCATTTAATTTTATTTATAATGTAGTTATTAAACTTACAACTCCAAATACGATTAACTAAATTAAATATATGAATACCTCTTCAAATTCTATTTTCATGAAGAAATACCAATACGGTTAAGAAATTTAAAATCAGTTTTTAATTCATTATAATAAACATAAAATTTAAACTACGAAACGAAATACTCATAAAGATGTCTAGGCTTTTCGTGAGTACCTCATTTACTAATAACTATGTTTTTTGATTTACTGTACAACTTTTTTTATAACATATTTATTCAGTTTCTCAATTTCTTTATAGCAACCGTGATTCAACTTTTCTCGTATCTTTTAGTAGTTTTTGCTTGTTAACTTTTGTAGTATCACCGACGTAAGTTGGTCATCCCTTCAAATTAAGAATTAATTAGTTAAAGGGGATAGCTTTTAGAGTCTGAACCTCGAATAAGGTCGTTCGTGAAGAGAAGTGTTATCCAAAGATACTAAAACACTTCAGAATTGTGGAGCCATATGTATGAAGTGGTGCCTCATTTCGCCGGCAAAGACAGTATGGCGGTCGATACCCTCTTCTTATGCCATCTTCTTCTTCTTTCTGGCAATTTCCCAGCAGTAGCCAGGGCCTGCCTTATATATTGTAACTAGTTTTGTCTACCTAATTGTTTTTTACTACCGGCCGTCTGCCTGACATCGACCCTCTTTGGGAGATCCTTTTCTTATAACATCTCTAAATAAAATCCCTTACTCTAAATTATTTAATTAATGTGTCATCTTCTAAAACTTATATAATTATTATCCAGAATTAACTTATCAGCATTGCCTTTTAGAAATTTCTCTTCTTATATATGAATGTTTATATGGATTTAGTAGCACTAAAAAGAACATACCAATAAAACTATTTACTTCTAATTTTCCATTATTAGGGATCAAATTATAATAACGGTTTTATAATTAGGATGATAATAATAATACTTTGTTGTTTATTTTGTTGTAGACGGTCTGTATAAGCCATTAAGGAAAAGGCCTTGAATATTATAAATACGAAATTGAACATATTTACATATTTTGTCTCTTTTGGTGCCCTAACATATTATAAATCATCATACGCCTTTTGCAGGTACCAAAACGCTTCATTCCATTTAAACCTTACGTGGACAAAGCAAGTTCACAGAACAAGCGATAGAGACACATCATCAAACTAAATTTTTATTCAAAACATTCATAAATCAGACTTGATAATTTCGGATCAAGTAGACAAAAAAATCTTTCATATCATATTTATACGACCACATATTTTTTTTTTTTTTTTGTCTGTTTATAAAGATGTGAGTAACATTCCAAAAATATTATTGGAGTTAATATTTTTAACCTTTATTTGGAGTTTATATCCAGTATATATTATATATACTGGAATATAACAAGTAACTAAAACATTATCCAAGGGCTACCATAAGTCCTCTTGAAAAACTTCATAAAAATTACTTTCATATCTATTTAATAATGCAAAATAGTGAGGAGATTCCTTTTTTGAATTGTTAACTAAAGCGATGTCACTTTTTTGTTTAGCAGAATTACATCTATACCAAAAGACTATATATATAAAATATGATCCTGCATGTAAGGAATAATATCCGTTCTTCAAAATAGATTTTAATGAAATGACAGCCTCAACAATATGTTCCCATTGCTGGAGTTCGTATTATGGAATTCTAATTCTGCTGCAACATTAATTATGAAAGAAAAAAAACATTTTTTTATGATATCATCTGCAAGTAGACGTTTCCACACTTTTTTATGAAAATCTCTAGTTTTTTAAATTCTAGGTCTTTACATTATCTTAAAAAATATGATTATCAATTAATTACTTTTTTTTCCATATACTTAGTAGTCATGAACTTGAGTTAAATATCCTTTTCTGTACAGGGCAGTTAACTCGAAAAACTTGTTATTAATAACGTTGAGACGATGTATGGCTGTCCTAAAAATATAATTATCTTAATCTGACCAAGTTACAAACAATATTAAATATTTTTTTGTCTGTACAACGCCAAGTGAACACATAACTTTTAATCAGTACCTAAAATATTATGCACACAAGATCTAAAAAATATTATTTGATCATATAAATCATTCAAGTAATTGAAGATGAGCGAAATAAAAAAACAAACAAATGAAAACAAACAAAACTTTAGTTAATCAATGTTTAATGAAATATTTTTAGAAATCTATAGTAAGCATTATTATTGCATGGTAATTTTATAACAAAAATTCGAGAATGCAAAATGCTGAAATAGTAGTGTTGGAACTATTCGATAACCAGAAATTAATGAAAATCTACAGTACCTTATAGATAGTTATAAAGATACTCCTTCTTCATGTATATACCATAAGTAATTATATACATATATAGAAGAAAAATATCATCAAGCATTCAACAGTAACTCAATAGATAGAAAACTATTGCTACAAAAATTTAAAATTGTCTTCTAAAAGACTCTCAAAATACGATTCAGATTATACAATGTTGATAAATTGATA